GTCACAACGTGACGGAACAACAGAGACAGTGAGTAATTGAACTGCAGTCAGAGAGTATTGTTGAAGTTGAGCACGTGAGACGTTCGTTGTTATAGCGTTTGTTATAACGCGACTGTTGAAATTAAGTGTATCGCAAAGTTATATTCAGAAAGAATAAACCAGTTTTATATAAGAAAGGACTTGTGTCGCTAAAGTTTCGTCGGAACGAATTCACGGAAAATTAACTAACGAACGGAGACGTAACAATAAATGTGAAACGGTAGTAAATAAAATTAAACATGTTTATTATTTATCTTCTACATTATTAGATTAACAAATATCACGATTTACGAACGCTGGATGTTTTTATTATGTGTACTGTTGGCGAGATTAGATCTGCACATGAACCGGGATACGATGAATAACTTTATTTACGGGTACACCGATTTTTAATACAAAAATGATAATAGAAAAACGCGACCACTCTTTTATTTCATAGGTAAACTACACGTTATTTTTTATGTTTGTTTTAGCACAAAGCTTCTCAATAGACTATCTGCACTAAGGGAACTCGAGCCCCGAATATCAGCATTGTAAGTCTGTAGACTGATTCACTTAGAGGCATTTTAGTCTTTACAGTCGGGATGACGGCTGTACGACTAATTACCTGACGATCATGATATCACGTGGACTCGTCTGGCAACATTCCAGCAAGTCTTCCTAGCTATTGTTGCATCTGACCTAATTCACCTGTCGGTTACTTATGCCTGAATTCTTACACATTATCAACTTTTTGAAATTTTTTATTTCTCTAGTCCCATCTTTTTCCTTTGTAGTTGTATTTTTAAATGTTTTTCTAAATATATGAGAACAATATTCTGTTGTTGTTGTTTGTTTTGTTTTTTTTTGGGAGGGGGAGGGAAGCACATTCTTCTTTGTGTTGTTTACTTTTAAACTTTTAGTTCAAATTCTTTCGGTTTTTTTAGATTTGATATAAGCTTCCCTGAAAAGAAAGATGTTCTAAATTTCCACGTAACTTCTCAGATCTATTGCCAGAAATTCCACTTTTTCTTTGTATTAAAAACAGGTAGTTTTTCTAATATAATGATTATTGTGCATTCTATTGTAAATTCTTTGAGAAAGCGAAAAAATAAACAGTTTTTTCTGATGTACTTACTTACGATATTCTGTTTTTGTTTGTTGTTAAACACAGAGCTACCTGTGCTGTTCTCACTGTGAGCACCGCAACCCGATTTTCAGTGTTATAAGCTTTTAGACTTACCGCTAAGACACCCGGGGGAGGACTTTTCTGAAGGTTAGGTTTAATGAGATGTGGGTTAATCAAATTAACAGCAACCAAACCATAAACCAGGTGACGTCACAAAATAGACCAAATTGTGTCATCATAAGAGTGAAATTAATATTTATTTGCATAACAAACCATCACCACCCTGTTTTTAAATATCATATCAAAGAAATAAGGTAAAATGCCACTATATAACGCTTCGTTACTTTGTACTTTTTTTGGATGGGATATTTGCGAATTCTTAAACTTCAATGTTATAGTAATATAAATTAATGAGTATGTGGTTAATCACAGTTATTGTTTTACAAAACATACAAGATAAATAAAACATTTAAAATTTCAAAACCTGCAAATAGGGATCGAAAGAACAGTAAGAGAACAAAGCTGGAGATATTGTAGACAATATTTACTCAAGCTACAAACCCATATTCTGGTCCCATGCTGTTACCTAGATTTACATTTGGTGGAGTCGAAATAGGTACTTGTAGTTTGAGTAAATAATATCTACAGTATCTCCAGCCTTGTTTCCTTACTTTTTTACGATTCCTATTTGCAGGTTTTTAAATTCTCTATGTTTTTATATTGTTTGATGTTTTTTTTTATGCTCAACTATGGGCAAAGAATTACTTGGTATGATAGCTAACTTTATACATAATAACAATAATAAACATAGCTAGTAGCTAGCTGATACGGTTCACGATGATTTATTGTAGCTATTGACTATTTGATTGCATTAGTTCGAGATGTAAAATGCTAAGCTGCAGCTAGAGATTGTCAAATATACTTGCTTGAGAATATAGTGAGAATTTATAGTTTCTGTGAAATTAAATTAGCTATATATAGTGCACAGCAATGGGCAAATACATGCCTAGACAACCCCCACTAAGCGCAAAAAATATTACCAGTAGAGAAACAGCCTTTTAAAGTAAACATATACGTCTAAAACCTCGCTTTAAATAAACCTTCGTGTCTTTTAAAGTAATTATTCTACAAATGTATGTAATAAAATTTAATATTTTGTGTATTGATTCTTTTTTACTCCTTCACTTCATAACTAATAAGGGGGTTGACTCTCTAAAGACATCAACTGTATAGTGTACAAATCATTGAGTATCTACAAGTTACAGTAATTTAATGTTCATCTATTATTGACTGGTAATTCCTGTTTCACCCTGTGCTTAAGCTTTCTGAAGGAACATTAAATGTTTGTAAGAAAGGTAACTTCAAGGGGTAATGATAACAGCATTTAAACTAGAATTATGATTTTTTTAGCTTATGTAAAATATAGAAGAAACAAACCGACTTTTCAAAACCTCTAAGACCTTTGCAGTATTCTACAAAAGGTTTTGGTGCAATATACTAAGTCGTTTTTGTTATTAAAAAGAAGAATTACAAACGGGCCGTTTTGAGCGGATTTTCTTTTCCTTGTAAGTCTAACATGCGCGCTTTTTTGTACATTTTTTTTATGTGTACAGGCCTTAGCAGTCAATAATAAAGGTTTGAAGTGTTGTTTGAACTGAATATTTACTGTTTAAGGTGATTTGTGCCCGAACGCTCTATTCGGGCTTTGTTCAATTCCTTGCGATCTCTATTATGAACCAATATCGTGGTTCATGATAACCACACAATATATCAAAGTTGATAACAGATTGTAGAAATTGCAATCACAGATACAACTGCTAAACACAGATTTTATATTTAGTATTATCTACATTTTGACATAACTTAATAATCGTATTTGTTTTCTTTTTTTCGAAACTGGGTTTGGTTAATTTTAGAAAATACAATGTTTTTTACAAACGTCATAAAGTGGATAGGTTATGGGGAGTAAGTTTTTTTTTTTCCTGGATGCTACGCAATGACTCGAATATCTGGAGGTAGGAACTTTCTAACAGATATAATATCTATATCTTTCTCAATTAGGTAGGGTACACCTTTCTCTTTGATGTTGTCGGTTAGATAAGGCACGCCCTCTTTGCCGATGTTATTGTTCAGATAGAAGTAATTAGGGGCCGTTTTACACTGAACAGCCCTCTCTGGCAGGGAACAGGTTAGGCTTAGCTGGTCGAAAATTGTTCCTTCTCCACAAAAGAAACTCCATTGGAACATCTGAAGTCTATTGAAGTACATGGCAGATTGACAGACATGATACACTTTACAATCATTATTCACATCTGCGTAGTAGCCATCTCCAGGACACACAAACGACTTCTTTACTTCATCCAAAACGCTGTCAACACCATCTGGCAACAGGTAAGCCTCTCGTTTATCCTGGATAATATTTGATTAATATAGAATAATATAAATTTTTAAAGTTTTATTACAATGTACAAAGGCCTTCGGTGTGTTAAGAATAAATGTACTTATTAAATCACAAAATATATATTAAAACAACACATTTCACTTGTGTTCACATGTCATCCTCTGTTTTTAATTATTTCAGTTTTTATCCGAATAAAGTTTTAAATTGAAATTCTGGAATAACGCCCCCACGGCTGAAAGGACGGGCATGTTTGGTGTGACGGGGATTTGAACCCGCGACCCTCAGATTGCGAGTCGATCGCTCTAACCACCTGGCCATGCCGGGCCTATACACCTAAAGACTATGCTCTTCAACCAGCTCCTGCACAGTATATAAGTCATTCACTTGTCTATGTTTGACGAGGGAGCCCAAGCAATTCTCTAAACTTCTGAAAAAAAAAGCATTTTCTTTCAGGCTGAAAAGAAGCCATAAACAAATATTTTTCACATCTTCCACTTATGATTTGTTTTAGTACTTGAGAGAGGCTGAAGTTTTTTGTTTTTTTTAGAATATTTACTACCGAGGAAGTTTTGAACCTATATGTCCCACATTAACTGTAAGATGAAGAGTTGTATGGATGTCTTTGCCTGAATGTAACTACGCCACATAATATAAATATATGATTTAATTCAAAATATTACAATATACAAAATTGCGCATGTACAGTGATAAAATATACTCGTGTATGTGCTATTAAAAAGAAAAAGTATATATTTTCACATATATTGTTGTTCTGGATAAAACCCGGTCATATGTATGGCAGTAATTTTCCATATTATATTGCAAACCAATAAATACCTCAACGCTATCATATTATTCAAGGAATCTACCAATAGAACAAACATTTTCCGTAACATAAGAGAAACTTAGGAGTTCCTTTTATCAATGTTCTATGCTAAGACTAAACCCTGAAACGTACCGAAAATTTGAAAAATTGTGTAGCAACCAAAGTGGCAACAAATGCATCCTATGCCCGTATATCACAGTACTATACATATAGAATACAATGCACATGGTTTCTAAAAGTCATCTAAAACATAGTGCATCTTATGCCCGCATATCACAGTACTATACATATAGAATACAATGCACATGGTTTCGAAAAGTCATCTAAAACATAGTACTTCGTCTCAATCCAACACAGTTCCGGTGTAAACTTGATCTGAGATTTGAATCTAGACAGTCACCGTAATTACATAAACTTGTCTTTACTTCATTTGGATTTATTTTGTTTCAGTCCATTGAAGTCTCTATACATGCCATTGAATTATTTTAGATACCTTTTGTTTCGTAGATTATTTAGATTTGCATACATACATATATAGCGTCGTCAAAACTTACCCTCAGTAGACTTGATACTAAGGCCGTGTTCAGGACAGCTAAAGCACACGAAAATAAAATATTGTTAGTATTAAAATACATCAAAATCAAACATTAAAATATAGCAAAATGAAATGTTATTCCCATTGAACAATACCAAACTATAACATTGTTAAAATTGTAATCATTACGTTAAAATAATATTAACACTAAAAATATGTCAAACTTGTCAAAGAAAAACATAGTTACCAATGTAGCCCCCATTGGACCAGTATTAAATTTATGGGCTTCCAATTCTCAAATCTAGGGTTCGACTCCCCACATTGGACAAAATACAGATAACCCATTCTTATCATCATTAACAATGCAACCTTCCTAATTAAATCATATTTCTACACATATTAAAACAAATATTACTCCAGAACATTGTTGTACATTAAATAATGTCCATCATTTCGCCCAGAAACTTTTTCAGATGCATAGTAAATTTTTTTGTTCAAGTTTCGGTTACGTTAGTATTTAAATAAACATTGCTGCTGAATCAGGTTAAACAACAGAGTTAGGTTCTGTTAGATTAAAAACTAGAATAAATGTGTTGCTATAAGTTCACCCATACACACACAAACACACATATATATATAACATATTCCTACTGATCTCACATACGTCCATTATTCAACGTTTGGAGCGTAGTTATATATGTCTGTCTTCTGCTGGAATATCTTGTTAGAACGTTATATTCTACTTTTTACAATTCAGACCTTGGTAACGTTATGTGTCCAGAAGGAGATTTTACGCATCCTGATGGGCGTGGTTTAATGACCAGAACGTTTTCGAAAAATTAGGAAACAATTTGAGCAGTATAAAACGCAAGTTAAGCTAGAGTAGGTTATCATTGATTATTGAGTAAGCAAGTTTGTTAGTCAATTTGTCTTTTCCTTTCACCCAGTTAGTTGTAAAAGAAGAAATAAAGCGGCTGTTTTGGTATGAAGGCCTTTTGCTGGCGAAGCGTGATTATAATCAGTTATAATTTTTATAATACGATAGTATTAGGCTTATTGTATTTCTAAACACTTCATTTTTTTATTTCATCCTTCAGGGATTTTTCAAGAAGTGTGTATAGTAGTGTACTTTGCAATAATTTTAATGAATAAGCCAACAGAATCTGCCCAATATTACAAACCGTTACAACGGTACTAATGACGTATAGGAAAGTGATGAAAAGAAAACGTTAAAATTTAAGAGGTTTTTTAGCCCACGGGCTTTATAGTTCTTTTAACATAATTCCACCTGACGAAGATTTGTTTTTGTTTGTTTGTTTTTAATTTCGCACAAAGCTACACAAGAGCTATCTGCGCTAGCCGTCCCTAATTTAGCCGTGTAAGACTAGCGGGAAGGCAGCTAGTCATCACCACCCACCGCTAACTCTTGGACTACTCTTTTATCAACGAATAGTGGGATTGACCGTCACCTTATAACGCCCCCACGGCTGAAAGGGCGAGCATGTTTGGTGGGATGCAGATTGCGAGTCGAGCGCCCTAACCACCTGGCCATGCCAAGTCGACATCTTAGAGACTCCTATAGTTCAAGTATAAGATTTCATAACTTTGAACTACTGACCAGGGCTTTGTACTAATCAATCGAACTCCGGAAACATTAATCCGCAGGCCGACACTATAACCATTAGGCCTACTCCCGGCCCCATAAAGTTCTAATGAATCAGGTAAGATTGTTTATTGTTATCTGCGTTAGCCGTCCCTAATTTAGCAGTGAAAGACTAGACATCACCACCCACCGCCAACTCTTGGGCTACTCTTTTACTAACGAATAGTGGAATTGACCGTCACATTATAACGCCCCCACGGCTAAAAGGGCGAGTATGTTTGGTGTGACGGGGATTCGAACCCGCGACCCTCAGATTGCGAGTCGAGCGCCCTAACCACCTGGCCACCACCTGACAAAGAGCTTTAAAGCTTATGGCTTCATAAAACCTTTATATTTCAATGTGGTATTTCAGCGTGTAAGTTTTATTTTTACGTTTATACATACCATATTTAAATGGCATTAAAACAATATATAGAAGAGTTATATCTAAACATTAATTTTAACATAGAAGTTGTTATTGTTTTCTTAGTGCCAAGCTTCACAATGGGCTAACTGCACTCTGTCCAATGACGGAAATCGAGCCCCAGATGATTTTAACATTGTAAAATATAAATGTTTTAGATTATAAAATGTTTTTTTTTGTTGTTGTCTTCACATGTTTAGCTTGTAGCTTGCAAACCTTATAAGAGGCTGAGTATTATTACATGTGTGAAATATCAACAATACTCTATACACGCAGTACATTTAACCTAGATTTTAGGCTAACTCTGTACACTACCGTGTGAAAATTTAGCCTGGTTTCTGCCTTCCTATTACCTACTAACTTCTGATCAAAGCAAGCTACCTACATAGCTCTGAACTAAATATATATATATATATATGCTGTTATCAGTGTTAGACCCTAGGTTACATTTATTAATCTAAGTACTGGGATCCGTTAACACACTTTTCACAGGTATCCCGGAATCTTAATGAATCGTGCGTGCCTTGTTACACGTGGCGACACTCACGCCGGCATTGATATTCTGTGTTCGCTTATCCCTAAAACAGAAGAGCTGTATATAACAGCAAATAAATCTTCTTGACCCTGGAGAGGGTCGTGTAACCTCGAATAAACAGGAGAAGACTACAAAGGTAATTAACATTAATTTATGATCAAAGCAAGCCAGCTACCAAGATAAAAAACAACTATATATATATATATACCTATTACCAGTGTCAGACGCTGGGTTATCACTATCGATGGACTATCTTTGTTGTGCTTACCACGGGTATAGAAACCCAATTTTTAACGTTATATGACATTGGATTTATCACTGAGACACAGAGGGGGTGCGAAGTGTTGGTCATAAATCAGTCAATTTATTTAGTGAGTAATATAACGTTGATTTCTCTGTGTGGGTGTAGAAAAATGAGCTTGCAGCTTTAGTTAGCACTGAAATTGTTGTTGTTGTTGTTGTTTTCCAAAAGAAAAAGTAATTTTGAAATCTTTATTATTAAAACAACTAACTAAATTAATTTCACCATAATGAAATACTATACAACAAAAACTTTGTTGTTTTCGTACAAACTTCTGATTTGTGTCAAAGTTTTTATGGATACGAAAATGTTTAAACTTATTTAAAAAAAAGATAATGTTTTTTACTAAATTTGTTAGTATTTTTATGTACTTGAACATTAATATAATGTAGATAAAATTAGGTTTAAGAATGCCGGTGAAAGTTTTAAAATTGGTCAAAAGTAAGATTGTGTTAACTTTATTACAATGTAACGCTTACAACCAGTAATAAGCTCTTGAAGTCTTGAAAATTCGAACAAAACGTGTTTTCACAACAATTAAAGCTTTATTAACAATATTTCAACTTTCTCTCATGCCGCCCCCAGTGACACAGCAGTATGTCTGCGGACTTACAACGCTAGAAACCGGGTTTCGATATTCGTGATTGGCAGAGCACAGATAGCCCTTTGTGTAGCTTTGTGCTTTATTACATACAATCTCTCGTGCTCATCATCTGGTCAACTAATAAAAGTGAATAGAAGATACAGTGCGATTAATGAACATAGTTAAAATGACTATGTCTTAAACTACTTATATATATTTCGTCAGATGCATATCGAGAACAATAAGTTTTATTCATGAAAGGTTGGATATGGTTTCTAGATTTGCCATAGAATATTAAACTTGCCACTAAATGAAGACTCTGTAAGCATAATCTGTTGTAGATTTGCCATAGAATATTAAACTTGCCACTAAATGAAGACCCTGTAAGCATCATCTGTTGTAGATTTGCCATAGAATATTAAACTTGCCACTAAATGAAGCCCCTGTAAGCATCATCTGTTGTAGGCCACGTCCATCGTTTTTACGCTATCTAATCCCAAATGACGTTTTCGTGAGATATTATTAGATGCATTCTCTTTGAAGAAACAATAACTAAAACTCTGCTGGGGGTCTCACTGGTCAGGAAAAGGGCGTTCATTTTATCTTTAAAGGTTTTTTCGGGGGTGGGCAGGGATTGCTAAGGTCAAAGTGCTGTTCATTTGACAGCACAGTCGAACAATAGTAACACAGTTTTATACACTAACACGCATTTTATTTAAATCACTAATCTCATATTGTTGAAAGAGAGAGGGAGAATAAAATGAATAGAAGTCTGTGAGAAAAGCAAGGTTAGGTATGCAGTATAATATTGTTTTGGAACATCCTGTACCATGTCCAAACTATGGTGAATTAAACCCATTATCCGCAGCGTGAATATAATGACTTTATTTTCCCTTAGGTCACATATGTTTTAAGGTATAATCATTTTAAATATGGGGTTATATTTATAATAACCTACAGCTTTAATATTTTAGGATGTCTCACTCAACAGGTGTGAAAGAAGAAAAAAGTTAATTAAACTGAACAAATAATACAACAAAATTTTGTATAATGCTACTCCAGACCACGACATATTCTAAAATGGATACTAAACACAATTAAACATATTTATTGAGTAGAAATTGTATTTTCATACAATTCTGTTTTACTAATATCCAAATGGATCATTAACTGGTATTATATTTTTGTACAATTCTGTTTTACTAATATAGAAATGGATCATTAACTGCTATTATATTTTTGTACAATTCTGTTTTACTAATATACAAATGCATCCTATCTGGTAGTTTATTTATGCACTATTATGCTATAATAATACAAAAGTGTATCATTATCTGGTGTAATATATATTTTTTTTCCATTTTTGTTGCACTAATATATAAATGCACCCTATCTGGTATTATATTTTCGTACACTTCTATTGTACTAATATTACTACTGTTGTACATAATGTGGTATTCTATTGATGATGACAGGTCAGGTTGAAAAATTGGTAGTAAAATTTAGAACGGGATAAAATAATGTCATATTTAAAAACTGCTTTTCGGAAACTCTAAAGACCTTTAAAATGATGAATTATTAAATATATATTGAACATTTAAGAAAAGTAGCCACCATACTTACCAAGGAAAAGTATTGTCTTCATATCTGTCTGTAAAAAACAACAACTGATTTTACTGACAGTTTAACCTCACAGACACAGATATATAAAGTAAACAGCGTGCATTTCAGTTCGTCAATGATAATGAACCTCAAGTATAAATACGCTTTCGGCTATGGATAAAAAGGCTGTAATTACTAGTTGCTTGAATAAAGTTGGCGTAGTGCATTCTGGGATATAATACATGTCTTAAAAACGACACGTAACTAGTGTGTAAGTAATTTTTATGGTCAGTGTTTCATTTATTAACTTCTTCATAAATTTAACACTGCAAGTTTATCAATGATGTTAATTCACGAGACACTTTTTCATTGTTCTACTATTTTTCTTTTTTATTATTATAATTGATCTAAATTCTGTTCCTGTTCTGAAGTCTCGACAAAGTTTTAAAAAGATATGTCAAGGTTGATCAATTACGAAGAATGAGATTTGTGAGCATATTTAATCTCATGTCAAAGGTATGAAGAAAGAAGCTAAATGTTATGATGCATTTTGTAAGATTAAACTCTACAGTATGAAAGTTAT